CAACGCTTGTTTGGTAGCTCGATCATGCCAAACAGACTATGAGATATCATGACACCAGTTATATTTTTTTAGACTTATAACTGCTTAGACTGCTTTCCTATATATATTGTTTACAAGGCAGGGATATAGTCGTTCATGCAGACTTTACGGTATCACTGGTGCACATATACTCCCATACGTGCGGTGATCAAGTGCAATAAGAATGAAGGTCCAGTAAGAGGTCTGTTCTTTCTTAAAGGTACATTTGACTCTGATCTCATACTCTTTTCATATTTACATCTATCTATCGGATAGATTACAATGCTTTGAGTTTTGAGTTGAAAAAGGTGAATTGTTTCACGTACAAGCCCCGGAGTAGAACATCACGAAATTAGATTAATTTGAATCAAGTAGTTCTCCAAATTTAAATCCTATACTTAAGGACATCAAAATGGAATCCTTGTATACTTGATCCATGGATACACATTGAAACCATTTCTATTTGGACTACGTACTATATATGAAAATGTAAATCAATGTGTAAAAAATAATCCAAAATACCAAAGTAAATCGACGGGTATGGAAGATAATAACCAAACTCCTACTTACAAATGAATGAAATACAGATAACTGGAGAAATAACACGATGAATGTAGTTGAGTTCTGTTCGAAATGTCTGTACAATTTGTTAGAACATAAAGGTGAACCTACAGGACGAGGTCACGACTTCACTTTTTCTTTGCTTTGTTCTCCTCTTTCCTCGAAGGATGGTTGTCAACTGTCTTTTGTCAGTTCAGCCGGCCACCCGCCAACTCGTTCTCCACTTGTGGCAAACGCACCCAGGCGCGTGAAGAGAAATGCTTCGTGAAGTGGGGCATGAATTGGTCGCATCTTGCTGCACATGGGCGGCAACTATACCATCACTGTAGTAGTGGTGGTAATGGTGGCGTCCTCCAAATTTGGATTGAACACAATATGACAGGAAGTCCACTCGGAAGTCACCGGACATTTGACGGCTACGTTACAAACGGTGTACATAACTTCAGGTTAGTTCCAAAACAGTAGGACACTAATTCTAGAAGCATGTGAGTTAAACCTAGTCAGAGTGTGGACTTCCTTTGTGAGTTAAAGATGAAGATATAAGGAATCACAAAAGTTGGATAAGAGAATCATCATGACAAGTTGATGACTTCATGGACATTGTCACATGCACACCTGTACTTCGTATTTCTTATACTCTAATTCCAGTTAGAATGTGTCAAATTTCTCCAATTAAACACTTCAACAACTCGTATATGATACTTAGTTTGTAACAGGTTAAATGAACCAAGCATAAGACAGTGAATAACAATGCAATTTATCTTATAAATCAACCTTATCGGATGAATGAATCATGAATATACCTATTAGCTTTCATGTAGAATATATGATTCATGGTTTCATCATCAATATATGCTAATAATTATAGTTTTTAATTTCATAATTAAAAAAATCTGATTTAAGATCAAGAATTATTCATTATGAAATCAAATAATTCAAAAGAAATTCGCGTAAACTGTAAAATTTTCAAACCGCCAAATTTTAAATTTAGATTTAGAGTAGTAACGGAAAGTTCACAGAGTTCTTTTGTAACTCATAGTGTAATCATTTTAAATTTTAGCTATGTATGGCTGTCATGATATGTAGTGCAGATTCTATCCGTCAGTGATCAGAGTCATATTCATGTCTGTACTCCCTCAAATCCTTATTCGACCAATCCGACTCCAAGTTAGCTTGTACCCACATGCTTGTTAAGAATAGTAGGATAACCCAAATGGATACAAGGTGGGGTGAAATTTTTTATCTTAAAGTATTGGGATAAATCGAAGGAGATGGCGACAGGCGATTCTCATGCCCGTCAGAACTGCACACTGTCCACCATAAATTCTCCTGATGTGGAACTCGTTGCAGAATGCGACTGTAATCTTATGGCGTATGAGTGTTTGCCTGGATGGATAAGTCTGATCATATCCACTTTGTTCCCGGGTTCTGTTGTGTACTGTTGACTCGAACTAATCCTGTCCTTCGCAGAAGTCACACGACTTCACCTCTCCGAGCGGGAAGACTGCGAAATGGGCATTTTCGGTATTGTGGCTTGAGCTGTCCTGGCAAGTTACAGACCGGATCGCAATGGAAGTCACAAAAGTAATGGAATTCTAGCAATAAAAGCTTCTCCAAATACCAGAAGTCACACATGTGAAGTCATTTTTAGCAAGATAAGACTTCATCGCGATGAAATCTTTGTCAACGAAGCAAAGTATGGAGATTGGACTCTGGAGTCTGGTCACAAGATCAGAGTAATGGCGCGAGAGGCCAAAAGCCATCGGATCCATCAGTCAGATACCTGTCATGATGTCAGTCCGTTGTAGTTCGCAACTGTTGGTATGTATATCCGCAACATGTAACTCTATGTGATTCTGTATGTGACAGAGATACTGTAATGGAAAAACGTAGAGAAGTAGAAAACGGCGAGAGGTCAACAAGGATAATGAACGTGATAAGACAGCAGCAGAGCTGCACGCAAAGTTCGGTTGGAGCATTGACTTCTTTCGCTCAATTGGACGTCATGGTCACTTTGAAGCAAATCGAAGCCATCAAGTCCCTCGGGGTAGACGACACCGAAGATGAAGCAACGTATGAAGTTGTCAGAATATGCTCACTTACCTCCTTTTCTTTTATCTTTTTTATTTTTAACACTTGCTTTTTTCCAGTAAAATCTTTATCTCGATTGGAAACATATACTTTCCCTTTTTTCTTTTTCTCTAGCAAAAAAGAAATGAAACTAAGTTCAAAGTAAACTAAAAATATGATAGAAGACACCATGAGGTTTGACATGGATTCAGTCAAACAAGTCCAAAAATAAACGGGTAACATTAGGCTAGCCCTGGAGCATGACAATGACAACTTTACCTCATTTCAGTTAAAATTGTCAAAATTGATAGTTTATGCATTGTACATAATGCAGAGAAGGGTAAGTTTTGAGTAACATGTCCAAATATTGTTGAAAGACTGCAAACATCTCTTTAGGATTGAGATGAGGAGAGTAATGTCATATCAGACTCCATCTTACATTTTGATACAATGATAACATCAATGTATCAAAGTTTCAGTAACCAAAGGTCTTTCTAATGCAATCCCTCATGATCCTTTTGCTAAACAAGAGTAATATAGATGTTTAAAAAAGCTCTATGATTTACCATAAAAATTCTTATAATTTTTCAAAAAATATTGAAGGTAGATTATGTATCAGTAATTTTTTCTTGAGAAAAGTCATGTTGATAGAGAGAAAATTTAATGCTTAGAATAAAAAACCAGAAAAAATGCAAAAAATAAAGAAATTCATGTAGCCGCAAAAAAAATGCAACATACAAGAAAATATATGAAATTCATGGATATGAAGATAAAGTCTAAAATTTTATTAACATGACTATTTAATGAATTACACGACTCATTTGTTCACCTAGACTGAAGAATATTGTACATGATGTAGCTTATGTGTTCATTTAGAGAAAAATTGATCAATATGAGCATCTCAAGTGATTAAAGTATGCTTTACTTCTTTTAACATGTTGTAATAGATTATCATCTCTTAATTTTGCGAGGTAAAGAGATGTATAGATTTCTATGCATTGAATTTGAATTCTGATAGTGTCAAATTTGAAATGATCCTAAAATGGTCTATTCCGTCTATCACGCGAAGTAATACCAAATGTGTGTGAGAAAGTAATCCGGGATTTCTAACCTGCTCTCAACACTCCCCTTTCGCTCCCGCAAAGCCCCGAAAGGACACATCCACAACTGGATCTCACGTAACGCACCAGTAAGAGAACTAAAGAGGCCAAGTAAGTAACACATATGATGGATAAATCCCAGTAAAAGTGGGAGAGAAAGCTCACACTCCACAAATTCACGCCAAAAGATTCAGGAGGATTTTAGACTTCAACGAATCAATAGCTCGTATTGCCTCAACCGATATCTCTTAGCAAGCGAATAGCACTGCGAGGTAGCTGTACCGGAAACCATTAATGAGTAGATCAACCTGGACGAGAAAAACTAGAGAAAATGTCAATGAAATCTACTCGCAGTCTCCTCGGCCCCTAAGGAACATTTGGGTATGTTGGTCCTTCAGCCCGTGATGGGCGTCCCAGCGATTTTCTCTTGTGACTGTCAAGTGCTTGCTTTGTCGGCGTTGGTGCGGTGGAATCGAAGGCTCTTGGCTGAGAAGCTCTAGACGAGCATGTTGCACACCCTGGACTCAATCATTCACAACAGATACTCATCCTTACCAAAAGAAGGCGTCCTTCGAGAGCACATCTGAACTATATTCGACGTCCTAGGACACGCTGAAAAGAAAAGATCGGGAGCATGTCCCCCGGCAGGGCTTTCCTTGCGGTGCGGGTCTATTTGCAAAATGATGGCGAGCGCCATATCACCGGCCCCCGTCAGGGCCTGCCGTTCTCCTCCTCCGCATGTACCATCATAATTGCCAAAAGCTGCCGAACTTACCACAACGAATCTGCATTCCAAAGTTTACGGTGAGGAGGATTCGTCGTCCAGATTAGGGTAAGGATAAGGTTCGGCAATCAAAGCCATACGGAAGAATACAAGCTTTTGCTGACGGAACCACGTGAGGCGTTCCCGTCACTCAAGTTGCCAACGTTTCCCCGTTGTTCCTCCTTGCCACCGTATCCGCGGCGGCCTTCTACCCCGCCGTAGTAGATTCTGTGATACGGTTCCTCACTTCCTCACTTCCTCACTTCATCGACTTCGCGTCAGGCGTGCCCCAGAACGTCAGCCGTCACTGTGACGGCTGAAAGCTGCACGACGTGATTATCCACTCGACATGCATTTGCCCCCTTGCCATGCGGCCCGACCCGATCTGACTAGACCCGGCCCGTCCCGTCCCGTCCCGGCATTGTGGAGAAACGCAGGGCCCCCAGTGCCCGGGAAGCTACATTTGGCATACGCAGTGATTTGGCCGTGAGGAGGTGTATTTATGAGACGAGGCGCCCCTGAATCGCAAAGCATGAATCTCGAGCAGTGCTGCTGCTGTGCAGGGAGAGACATTCACAGACGAGAGCAAAAGCTGAGCCTCTTGGCGGTGCAGTCCTTCCCTCGCGTAGACCGAGAAACGTGACCAACACTTGCAGGTCTGGTGCCGGACTCGAGAGCCTTCGTCAAAGGCTCGTATCCCTTTCCCTCTCTGCTCTCTCTGCAACATCGGTCCATCATCGTCGTCGATTCTCGCGCTCGGTCCCTCGCTGTTGGCCGTCCTGTGACTCTGTTGGATTCACTACGCGTGTCGTGTTGGATTCACCACGAGAGCTGTTAGAAGTCCTTACCCCGTCTGTGATCTTTGACTCGGAGTTTTGCTGGCGGTGGCTGAGGGTTCGCTCTGATTTTTTCCTTCTCTCGTAGCTCCACCGTCGCGAGGTGCTGGGTATTTGTAGTCTTTGGTCTCAAGTCCAGTATCCATCTGCAATGCTCTCACGGGCTCTGTGAACGATTTATCGAACTCTGGAGGGGCATGTTGGTTGAGGACCTCTTGCTTCGAGCAAATTGCCGCTGGTTGGGAGATCCTCGATCTAATTCTTGCGCTTTACAGGCGTTGCGCTTTCCCTGCTAGAAAGTTCCTCCATCATCGCGTTTCAGGCACTAGATTTCAGTAGCGATTCTCATGGCGCAAGGGAACAGTATGGACACGGTGAGCGAGGAAGTGCTCGAGCTCATAGTGGCCAAGCTACCGGCGGTGAGTGTTCTTGCAGCGGCCCAGGTGTGTAAGAATTGGTTCAACGTCGTCAGATCTCGACGATTCGCCAAATTCTACGATCAACAGGCATGCCGGAAGTCCTGGTTTTTTCAATGTTGTGTGAATTATCTCATCCCCGAGAAAAATCAGGGATATGGGTACGATCCAGAGTCCAAGCAATGGCATAAGTTGAGCTCACAATGCTTCCCGAACGAGCAGGACAAACTTGCCATGGCAAGCAGTCCGGACGGGCTGCTGTACTCGATTTTCACTCTGTCAGATCTCACCTACAAGCGCGAGTTTCTGTCCAAACAATGGTCCGAGGCCCCTCCCATGAAGTACTCGCGGAATGCACCGCTTTTCGGAGTGGTCGATTCCCCGGACGGCGAGTCTCATAAGCTCCTCGTGGCGGGCGGAGTTTCCTTCTTCGAGGACGATGATCTGGCGCTAGAAATTTACGACTCTGCCTCCAGGTCGTGGGAGGTCTGCGAGAGCCTGCCGCGAGAATTCCGCAACAACAGCTCGCGGCACTGGATGACATCGGCCGTGGTGGACGGAAGGTTCTTCGTGGCCGAGGTGTACACGGGTCTCATTGCGTCTTTCGATTTACAAACCATGCGCTGGAGTGCGGTGGGCACCTTGAGGCCTGCGGGAGTCGTGCACTCGCACCTTCTGGCCATCCGAGGCAACCTGTACCTCGGCGGCTCTTGCTACTTCGAAGACAAGCACAGCTTCAAAATCTGGAAAGTAAATGTCACAGCCCAGGAATGCGGCGTGGAAGTTGCCTCCATGCCTTCCGCATTGTGCAGGATCTTCGGCCCCAGCGACGACGGGGGCCCCGAGAGGAAAGGCGAGGGAATTCGATGCGTCGCCTCCGGAGATCTCATCTACATTTTCTCACGCGAGCAGTACCGAGACAATCAGGTCGTCGTCTGCGACCTGTCATCTCCAGGTGCCGATCAATGGAGCCTCCTCCCTCCCCTGCCGGCTACCGGCTCATTCAATAACGTGATCGGCTTCAGTTCTCCGGTGAAAATTGGTTCTCTGTTCTGATTTAGAACCTCGAGAAACTTTTTCTTTACCCGCCGCATGAGCAGCCAGCACAGGTGGGATTGTTCGATCGGGGCCCTCAATTCAGAAAAATCCCGTCCTTGAGTGTGACAGCTTCCACCGTCCCCAGGAGACATACTGAAATTAAAAGGCTGGACGAGTTGGAGGCATGTTCGCCATCACACATCGGGAATAAAGACTGCGCTACCCTTTTCGCCAGGGTGTATCTCGCATCGCTGGACTGCGTAGAGGTTGGATCTTGGCGGTGTCTTGCATTGTGCCCATTAAAGCCACATCCGTGGCGCTTTATAATGTTCGTAGACGAGGACCGATCAAATGTAGATAGGTATAATTTTTATTCGCCACTTTGATGTGGAGGTTGATTGGGAATTCAAGTACTCGAGCTTTTGTTCTTGTTGATGGTGTTCTGAAAGCCCAGCATATGTTCTGATGCTACTGTAGAGTACTACAACGATGGATGCCGTGGGGGAGCAGTCTAGAGGACTATTTAGCCTCGGGGAATTTAGGTCCTCTGTTGTGTAGATACGTACGGGATTCTGCTCGTTGAGGTGCGCAATGCCGTTTTCTCTTGTATATCTGGACGAGTAGAACTAGTGAATTACAGAGGTCCGAGTCTATAGTACTCCTGCGGACTATTTTAGAGTTTGTTAATATAGGATACCTACGGATCTGAGCTCCAGGCCGGACAGGCGCATGTTGTACAAAGAATCGAAATGGATAGAATCTCTTATTATTTGACCCATTTAATATAACTTTCTGTGCACCGTTCTCTCGAGTCACATCACTATCTTTCATCTGAGCTTTCGTATGGTCACGCTTGTGCTATCATATTTTCTCCGTTGATTGTCTAATATATGACAGTTTTCACTGAATCCATGTTGGTCATTGGCAGCTGTTGGTATTTCATTTCTGACAGTAGAACTGATCACCCCGTGAGATAGACTATCGTCTGTTTCAGCTCATTACTTCACAAAATCAAATCCTTGTAAAGGTCTAACGGTTTTCATATATATGATCCTTGAATAAAAATGATAAATCTCAAAGATCTGTCGAAGTGTCTGTGGTCCACACAGGTGAGAAGTCAAGTATATATATAGTATCAAACATTTATATATAGTATCGGACTAGTTGCGACGACTGAGACTTTGGACTTACAGACCTCGATTACATATCCAAAGATCCCATCTATGCTACATCAACTGGGCGTTATTCTTTTAGTTCTGTGCATGTGAAAGTACGAAAAAGTCCACCTATTGTAGCACAGAATCTCTCCTCCACTTGACATTGGAGCATGCTTTCCCATGCGTCTGCATCGTCTCATGAGTGCGATTGTAAGCAAAAAGCAGATAAGATGCGTCTGTTAGTCTACTCGGCATTGTTTCACGATTTTTTCTCTGTACTGGAAGCAACACTTCAGACATTGATGGCACGTAATTGAAAGCTTGTCACGCGATGTGTGAAGAACAAAATCGTCTTTGCTTTAACGAAAAGTATTCTCTTCTCACCCAAAAGTTCCTCGAGGCAATAAAAACTTAGCAACGCATAAAATCGGAAAACTGCTTCCTGTAGACCACTTTTAATAACTTTCTCGAAAAAAATTCCCTTCAAACGATTGAAATATCGTCACAATATAGTGGCAGGTTCATCTGAAAGAAGCAAACAAGAGGATCAACAAACAATCCACAGAGCAGACATAGTCTAAACTATCTCTGCTCAGTGGACTACACCAAACTCTCATTGCACCATGTCCGGCCCGCTGTATTTGCAACGTCCACTTAGATTCCAATTGCTCTGAAAAAACTCATATAGCTTCTATCTGTCAGTCCCTGAAATTCCATATAAGGCTTTTCATATTCAATCCGATTACATCTGCGACCAGAAGGTTTAGTGCATTTGTTCCAGCTCCCACGACCTGTTCGGGTTAAGGAGCAGAAGTCACCGAAACGGAAAGATGGAGAACGGGTGGAGAGCGGCTCTACGGTTCATGAAACGATACAAGACGTGACTGTAAAGTCGATGCTGGAGGCAGCTGTAATTTTGAAATTGGATAAGTTGCTCAGTTGCTGACATTGAGGTGCTTGAACTGATCGGCCATCTGGCTCGGATTCAGAGGTACATTAATCAGTGAACTTTGGGCCAATACCAGTTCCTTGAACTAATATTATAGTGAGGAAAACAGAAAACTACTACTGAGTATTCGCATTGACTTTTGAAGAAAGGGTCCTTACTGGGTGAGTATTACAAGCTCTTAAGCTTTTACTCGGAACGTTCAGTTTACTCTGTACTCTTTACCCAAGTCTAGAGTCCAAAAATGGAAATACGTACTGAGAAATGACGTACCTTAGAACATATTTATGTCAGAATTTCAGAGTTGCATACTGTGGGAGGAATCGTATCGCAACTGCTTCCACCGCCTAAATGATGAAAAGTCTCGTACAATCTGAGCAGTAGAAGTACCTCCTCCTCACGGTGGCGTCCTGACTCAGCACGCGTGATGACGGCTGAGTCACTCCAGCACAAGCATACCCTATCATAATCCCTTCGCACATTGCTCGGCAGCCTGGGCGAATCAAAAGAAACATTTGCCATCGTCTACTGAATGCAGGTGGCCACAGGCTCGCCATATGCGAATGATGCTTAATGATGATGCTTGATGTCTAGAGACCCCTGTGCCCAATAGGGACATGTACTTTGCACAAACGGATATATCTTTTGAAGATAAACCTGAAGCCCGGGTGTGACTACCAGAGAACCCAAAAGAGTTTGTGTAGGTCACAGCAGCCGAAGATATTTCATTCTCCAGAGCTCATAAAGTACTACCTTCCACACCAAACCACGCACATTTTACTTCTTCACCACCGGTTCGTCTTACGCGGTTTGGTGTGAATCCATTGGCCTCATCCTAAAAAATCCCAGGATGAGGCCAATTGACCTCATGCTTTGAATTTTTGGCGAAATCATTATACATCTTGATGATAAATTCTCTTCAAAAAATAAGGTTTCGGCCTCTGATTTATAAAAATTAAATTAGGAAAATTGAGTTTCATAAAATGAATACATTGTGAATAACTTAATCAATCATAGAAAAAAAAATATACATTCATAGCTGTAAAAATACGAGTATGATATTTATAAATTTTCCGTGCAAGTGCTCAGATTAGAACCCAAAAAATAATGATAACTCTGATCTTTGCAAGGAAGACTGGACTCAAGAAACAACACGAAAAGTTGTGTCAATCACAGGGACGTTAAAATCGTGTTAAAAACGTGAGAAGCGAACTACAAAAAGCGACGGCTCAGCTCCTCGTAGTTATGATGCAACGGGCAGAGGACTTAGACAGGACTCAAACAAACGTACAGCATACATTACGCTGATAAGTCTTCGCAACCTGCATGTCACATGCAGCATGCAACCGTGAAGCTCATGATTCGTTGAACTCGAAGTGCATGCTTGAAAGAATCGTCTCTCATGACTTCACCTTCTGATGGGGTTTATGACGATCCTCCGGCTCTTACTATAAGGTCCCCATGTCATGTATTAAGAATGAAGGAAGTCAAATGATGAATTTCTCTATCTTTTGAAAACTCCTATGTTGCGCTGAACCGGTCACAAAAATCTAGGACATCAGCATGGGCCGGAGGTTTTTGTGCTGCAGCAAATACCCGAATGACTGTTTCCTTGTAGAAATCGCTGCATGTGGTCCTTGGCAAATCCCGAATGACTGTTACTTGTAGAAACCGCTGCATGTGGTCCTTGGCGGCAGTTTTGCTGGCATTCTTGACTGCTTCTGACCGACCCTGGAAATCGAGCATCCACGATCACCACTGATACTTCCATATAAAAAAATGCATCAAGTTCTAAATTGATGGAAAATGTCCACGAAGATAAGGTTTTACAATTTATTTCATAAGAAAACTGAAAAAAGGGTTCATTGTATAAAAGTTGTTGTGATAAAAAAGAATACGAAAAAGACAATTAAATTTGCGTCAAGAAAGCCATGCGTTCGGTATTTGCTCTTGGAGAGCCCATGTCCGGAGGAACTCCTCGAGCACGCAAGGGATTTCCTCCCTCGTGGGCGGCCTGCGCACCTCCCGGGCATCGGTCAATGAACGAATCATGCAACATGTAATACAATTCTTCTATATATACGAAATTGCTCAGAAATTCAATACATATAAATCTTAGTCTTTGACTACAAATATAAAAGCAGTAAAGATGCAGATCAACTACATATACTAGTTAAACTATCAGATTTTTTTTTAATGAATTTAGTAGAAGAATGCATCTTGCGTATTTGTTGAACTGTACATATCTTTAAGCAAAAAAGGACGAATTCTCTGCATGATCTATGGTAGGATCTTTACACAAAAGTAAACACGATAGATATGAAGATAAATAATAAAAGATGGTCAAATTAAAATATATACGGAAATCAATCATGCTTAGCAATATTGATCGTTTCGTGAAATTTTTTCAGGATAATTTCGTAAATTATTTATCTAATAAATTACATTTTTTTAAAATCATAATGAATGAAATCAAGAAAGATGGATGCATGCCTTTCTTTAAAATATGATGTGAAAGCATAATATTAGAATTTTAATAAAAGTAAATAAATTTTATCAGTTCCAAATAAGGAGCGAAGTTTTATACAAAATCATGATCAACGAGTGGAGACTTCACTCGTTAATGATAAGTAAAACGCTGTTATGCGAATAACATACTTTTAGGTGATATAGTCAGCAAACAATATGCTCTGGTTTTAAAAAAAGCCCTTGAAAAAAAATTCCTACAGGAAGAGCTGAAGTTGGACTTTAATTAACAGAAAAGTAAAACCTTACACTCAGAGTTCTACCTGGACAAATCATTAGGCCCATTAGTAATCTAATGTGGCAACGGAATTGTGTTCTACATTTACTAATCTCATGACTGATAAAAATTTTCATGAAGAAGTATTACTTGTGGACTGGTATCTGATTTAAATATATTCATGAAAATTAAAAAATCGAATTGATATGGTTATAAATCTGATATATTTAAAAAGAGGATTTATCATGACTATATGATTTTTTTAAAAATAAAAAATATATAAGATAAGAAGAAGATAGAAGAAACCCTAAAACCTTTTATTTATATTTGTGAAGATATAAATAAAAGGTTTAAATCGAAATTTTTATCCAAGATTAACAATGTCGCTGAAGAATAGCTTAGTGTTATCTTAGTTTTCGAAAGCAAAAAAATCCTTTTATACAGATACTCTTCACATTTGACCTAAAACAGATGAATCATTTTTTTATAAATAGAATTATTCATATTTTCTACTTTTAAAATTATTTTATTCATAATATATATATATATATATATATATATATATATATATATATATCATTGTTAAATTTAGAAATTCATTCAATGCATATAAGACAGATAAACAAATGAGAAATGAATTTTGGTATAGTTTATAAACATAAATATTAGTAAATTTTTTTACTACTTCAAGACAAGTTCGTTCCCCGTAGGTTTCCGCGAGCAAGACGGTGATCACCGAGACAGGATAATAAACTAGCATCCAAGGTCTCATCGTCACGGCTATAGAAGTAGACACATTCCAAGTTCGTGAAAACATCTGGCAAAAGGACCGATTGAGTGTTTTGTAAGGATTGCCTAGAGGGAAAATCTACTGCATACTTCATATTAAATTGAAAAGTGCTTTAGTCCTCGAGAGTTTTTCATTGTCCGTAATAGCAAATGATATTGTTAACAGTTGGCAAATGCAAACCTCTCGGATATAGACTGGCGGATGCTGAGTTGAGCATATCATTGCACCATAGCAGCCAGTGGCACGTCGTGCATGTGACCATCCCTACAAACGCTGATCTTTACACACTTAGAGAATCTGTGTAAGAACACAATAAGTGCTACTAACGCAACTGGGTTCACCGCTTTGGTGGTAAAGCAAGCAAAGCAAGACATGCTTCTCATGCCTCTCAAGCTCTTTAGCCCTCTCAATAACCTAACCTTGATTTTGGACCCTCGACCTGGAAACTCAACATCCGAAGCTCTAGCCATTATGTAAACACTCAATATCATTCTTTGCGTCAGATATGCATATCAAGGTAATGATGCAAAGTATGACGAAAAGCTCAGTCTTTTGATTTTTGCGGTGATGAATGATTGTTTACAGGATGACCATCTGGACGAGGAGGATGATTTTTTTATGCTCACCGGCAAGCCCGACAAGAGTGCAAAGGAAGTTCTTCTCTGGTGGAAGATGCTTGCCACCAGGTTCCCTACTGTCAGAAAACTAGCTTATGAAACACTAATAATGATATTGGGCTACTCTGTCGCCTCCGAATCGTCATTCTCTGATTCGGTTGATTTTTGTCTGCCCAGATCGCGGGAGTCTCTCCTAGAACAACGCTAAGTATATGATGAAGCTTTGAAGTTGGAACCGTTTAATGGGAAAGTTTGATTGATATTTCCTTTTGATAGAAAATATGAGATATGGCTTCACATGTTCAGATTGAGTCACTGCAATTTCGGGTCAAAGTATGCTTGTGAGAAAGAATCTTCCTTCAAACGCCAAGGTTCAACAGGTTTCTGCCAAAGTGGAGAACGGTGTGTTGACAGGAAAGGTCCCCAAGACCGAAGAGTCCAAGAAGAAACCAGAAGTTTGAAACTTGTAGATCACCCGCTAGAGCTCCAAATACCCCAGGCAGTTGGCGTATAATTTTTGATTTCGATATACAATATATCAAAATTGTAAATTATACGTCATTTTAAATATGGGGAGTGGCTAGTTATTCTTCACTTTGGACTAATTAACCTTCACTCTAGTATACGGTTGGCGAACATTTGTAAATCCTTATAAGTGTAAGTGGTGTTGCATTGATGGCGGTTAACATCACTAAGAGTGGTTGTTCCAATCAAAACTATATTATATGATTCAATAAGAAGAGTATATCCTCGCGCGTCTGGTTTTTTTATGGATCCATTCATACACCCGCCTGTCATTGGATTCTTGTTCATACATCCGTGGATTGTTCATTCTGCTCTCTACTCTTCTCTATCAGATTGTTCATTCTGCTCTCTACTCTTCTCTATCAGGTGTGTTGCAAATGCGCAGTCGATGATTCACATAAACTATTGGCTGAAAGCTTGACTTAAATAGCTTAGTGAAAAATTTGCATTTTTTCTCCATCTGCAGAAGCCTCCATGAAACATTTTGACATGATCGAGAGCGCGGGAGGAAGTCCTCTAAAATGAACAACAAGTGAAAACATTTTTTTTACTCAACAGATTTCTTCCCACTGCTTTGCTTTAAACAGTAAGAATTACGTGTCTGAACGTATGGAGTTGATCTCTTGTTCGGGCGAGCAGAAACTTGGGTGGCTCTTCGATGTATATATTCCCTTGCGCAAGTTCAGACCAAAGCTTGGGCTGTCACGAAGAGCAGGAGAGCTGGATGACAAGAGCCCCCGTCCGCTGTATGGTGCGATTTGCAGGTGCAAACGGGATCACACATGGAGTATTTGTATGGCCAGCGAACAAGCCCTTGGAGAGTCTTTCGATACGGCAGGTGCTATCACATCAAGGACTATACCAGCAATGAAGTTAACTAGGTTAAGGAGATTCATAGATGAACCATCAATGTAGCAGCATTGAAATCTATAAGGATCAAGGAATGACTGCACACGATATACTAAGGTGAGAGCTAATTGGGTCAAAGTGAGTGTTAACTAGCATCTCCTAAGTATATCATATACTCAATCTGAATAGTGTAGTTTCTCTTCAACGTAATCAGGGATGTGTTGGAGGTGTAAGTAGACATACGAGTGCTAGTGTTGATATGTTGGTGCTATCAAACAAGACTTCATCCAAGAAGTGAACGTGTTGGAGGTGTAAGTAGACATACGAGTGCTAGTGTTGATATGTTGGTGCTATCAGACAAGACTTCATCCAAGAAGTGAACGATCAATTTTTGGAAGATTCAATCATACATGCTCTGATTTTCAAGAAGTTGCAATTTCTCGTCAAAAATCTTAGGTAACTGAAATATACAATAAAGTATACATACAATATACATTAGTTTCAGGATATTTCTGAAGACAACACCAAGATTTGATGGGTGACTTTAAGAAGATGATGTTCGGTGTCATGCAGACAAAGATGGTGCCAACATTCAAGAAGTTCCATCCTCCTGAAGTTAGCGCCGCTAAATGTTCTGGTGGTAGTCGAGATCTGTTCCCACGAACCTTAAGACTTGCAAATAAAGTAATTGACCACTTCTGTGCGGATATCATCATATTATTTGTACTTTGACCATTGGCGGAAGGCAAAGAGTTTGTTGAGAGCCTTCTCTCTGCATTGACTAGGGGTGTGGGTTATTGTCACTACGTACATGTTATAATTTTGTGACAGGTACTGCAAAGTTTGAGTTCTGACAAGAATGAAGACACCAATTTGAGAGAGTTATTACATTCCTTAATCTAGATATAAATAGTACTGGTTACAGACAATCCTGCAGGCTAGAACAACCCCGACCGTATGCTGGGGGTTGACGACATACGATGACCGCCGTGACGGTGTCAACGTTCATCAGTCCAGCGCTTAACATGTAGTCAATGCACCCTGGTTAGTCGATGTGAACACGTGTCTACTATCAGATAATTAAATTAATCCTACTCTTGCTCTAACTTCATCGTCCTTTTGCATCAGACATTCTACGCACAACAAGCCACTCTGGACTCGTTTGTTGGCGACTCGCCCTAGCGCTGTCTAAGTGCACTTGCAAATGATGGTCATCTTACGGAACCTATAAACGTAGAAAAGGAAAAGTCACGCAGTCTGCACGAGCAAACGAAGATTATCACATTATTTGAATTATACAGAGGCGTTCTTCAATCGTTCTAGTGCAGAAACGAAGAACATGGTCTCATAGCGGAATCGAAACCTCGATCTGATATAGAGAGCTTCCCTCAATCTTTTGTTGCTCTTTGACGTGGATTTTGCTACGCAGTCTCGTACTACCATGACTGTTAACTCAAAGTTCCATGAAAATGCTTGTGGAACAAAGAAGCATTGATTTGTGCTCCCCGCACGATCAAGATGATCGTAAAGATCAGAGATTCTCCATGAAGGGAATCAGGTGCTTGTGAAAAAATGGTCCCATAGCGTAGACAGAGCTTGAAAACACTTAGAAGGCAACGTCCGGGTCTGCAAGAATTTCAGATCCATGGGCGGTTACCGTTTTGTGAATTTGTTTAGATTCTTTCTATGTGATTTGCCACTCTTGAAGAGGAATTGGACCAACCGTTGCACTAGATCACATTATCCTCCTATCAGTCCTGCACTGGAGCTTTTCCACAACTCATTTCAACTCAATGATGACAGGATTCTAGTTGTGAAATAATATCCGTGTAAGAGTCGCAAACTCAAAGATGTACATTGCTTATGAAAGCCTCTTGATTTATGAGTTAAAGCTGTTGATTCTAAAAAAAAAAATTTCCCTCACCACAATTAGAAAATAGTTAATTTAGTCAACAGCGAAATCAGCAAAAATATTCTAATATATCCAAGGGGCAAAACGGAGGTAAGACCCGATAACGTCATGTGCCGAGAAACCTTTAATTCATCTTTAGAGATCACGAAACTGAAGAAGAGCGTTAGACTATTCCTAACAAATTCAGAAGGGAATTTGTGTTTTAAACCTTCCGCAATGCAATTTGAGGTGCATTATCTACACGCTGTATAACAGAATTTCCAAGTTACATGTAAGTAATCTCCCATATTCATTCAGTCAAAGGAGCATTGAGGTGATGCACAAGCAGCAACTAATCTACTTATGTACTACTTTCAATAGTGCATTCATTTGAAGAATAACAAGACCACTTCCAAAATTTATTATGAAGTGTGCAAAATTTTTTATTTGCTTAATTTTTTTGTGTTAATCATTTAGGCCTCAATACTAGCCTGTTTGCTTCACTATCTGCTAGAAATGGACATTCTCAGATTTTTTTGGTATACCTAGGTATACATTTGCGATCTCCATACATCTCTGATACATCTCCACGGGTGTGAAATGATGAATAAAACTCCCAATGATGTATTTAGGACTTTTACATCTTCAGATGCTGCTTGAACCAGCTTATCATGTCTTCATGGGCAGATTTCACCTGCTCATGACTATATACATCATACCTAATTGCCCAGCCATGTACCATCATAGGAAAGATCTTGAAGAAGCTTGCCACTTGAGCCATGTAGACGCAATTAAGACTCACTTTTAGTGCCTCGCTGCAAGGATACAATCTCAAATAAAGACTCAAAGTGTGCATGATACTCAACTGGAAGACTAATTGAGCTAGATAGAGAAGAATGGTTGGTTACATAATATAGATTTGGCTTCCTTGTCTGCAGCAGGGCTCTGAGCTCTTCTTTAACATGGAATAAAGGAGTGATATAGAAGGATAGGATGCCATTATATCATAAGACTCACGGTCAAGTGTGAGACTAGGCAACATAATAAATAGTTTGTGAATGTAAAGCCATGCACTTCCCAGTATGATGGTAGTTCTCTAACTTTGTCACTGTGATTTTAACTTTTAAAATTTGAGTTCAATGACAAAAGCATGCATGCGTAAATCAGTTCTGCAGACGTTAGTAAAACGTAATGATAGTTATTTAGGATAAAGAGATAGAAAGAGAGAAATTTAACTCAAGTCCCTACAAACCTTTGTCTAATACACATGAAGCCAAGTTGTCACGTAACTCTGGTCTAGAAGAAAGAATAATCTTGGATTCCTCGGCTTTTTTGACAATTACTTGCTGATCGGTTTCAGGGTTACTAAATTGGACGGGCACATTGAATGCTGCACATCACGTTAGAAACTATTATTCAGACTTCCACACTTGTTCAACTTTTCTTTGGTAGATATTAGTACACTGGAATTACTGGAAAAGCTAAAACATATATCCTACAACATTAACTGAAAAAAAAAGCAAAATCTGCCAACAGCTAATCTTCGGGTAATTCATTCCAAGATTTTCAAACATGGATATTGCCATCAACTGATGAAGTCAACATGCATCTATTCTTAGGGTGGTAAGAGATTTCCGTTATTTGCAAATCACAGTCGATAGCTTAGAAGTTAATGAATTTGAAGTGCTAAAATCAGTGCTTCAAGCATATCACACAAAGTAACTCGCTACAAACGCAGAAGTGCCTTAAAGGACAACACCAGAGCTGGATCAACGAGGTCCCAAAAGAAGATACATCCATCTTCGGATCAGCAAGAATTAAAACTTAGAGCTCTAACTATATGGCAAGTCCAACTAATGCAAAATTACCAAGATGCATATGAAATCAAAACTGGGACGTCTCATGCATGAACCGAAGCTGAATAACTATGAAAGATGAATAAATGCATTAGTACGATAAGCTTCGGAGCAGCAGAATGATGATATAAGTCGAGGAGACCAGCTGTCTTTTGACAGTGATGGAAGAACTAAGTGTGCAATAGGGAAGAACCAGTCCTCCAGTGCACATCAACAATGAACAAATGCATCAATAGAATAAGCTTAGGAGCAGCAGAGAGATAGTATAAAGTGAGAAAATCAGTTGTTGTTTTAACAGTGGTGGAAGAACCAGGTGTGCAGTAGAGAGGAACCAATACTCAAGTGCACATCATCAATGAACAAATGCATCAGTAGGATAAGCTTAGGACCAACAGAGGGATAGTATATATCGAGAAAATCAGCTGTCGTTTCAACAGTGGTGGGAGAACTAAGTGAGCAGTAGAGAGGAACCAATACTCCAGTGCACATCAACAATGAACGGAGAGCATTTGAGTTCCGTCACGAAGTCTCGGTTACTTGATCAAAGTCTATCGACGTGCAAAGGTTTCTGCACTGTACAGTGCCGTGGCTGAGGAGCACTCAAAGCCCAAAAGATGAACAGTACAAGAAACATTCTGCTAGAAAATTCAAAGATTTACCGTCCCACTAGAAACACTACTGCACAAATAAACTGAAGTGAAATCATGAATGAAAACTGAAAGAGCAGTATTTTGCTATAAAAAGCATTCAGACATTAGGAAGCAATGTGTTAATAATATATATAATACAAATTTGCATGTATTCATAAACTTTCATGTGTGAAGATGGAGAAATCTTTATAAAATTCAAATTTTCAAACTTCTAGACATAGAAAAAAAGTGAAATAAACTTTTGAACTTTCCAACTGAAAACTTAGCTTTCTCGCTTGTCAAGTACCTATCAGGTAGTCTTCGGCAAGTATCCATCGCACAACGAGGAAAACAGTAACCAAAAAAATGAAACTTACCTCTTGATTATGAATATAATTACTGTATCAGATCATCATTTAGATTGATTGTATTTGTGCCAGCTGAAAGCTCTCTACTCAAACTTCTTGGCAGGGAAAATTTACTTGCACACAAAGAGATCCTATTCATATTAGTTTGTAGTTTACTACTTTTGCGTTTTCCACGCACTTGAGTGCTACGTCTGAACAACTCTTCTTTAATTGTCTCTCTTTTTCTTCCTTGAACTTCTAAAATAACATCAAGAAGAAGTTTGTTATCACTAATGACATCACTGAACTCTGATATAACATCGGGCATAGCTGTACTATCATTGCTAAATATCTAGATAGCTACCGCTATCACCGTTAACATCTTGAAGAGGCAAGTTCAAATCTTGTAAGTAGAAAAATGAAAACTAAAACTAAAACTAAAAATGAAAACAAAGAAATAACTAATACATACATCTCATTATACTATAAGAAATTCAATTCAATGCATATTACAGTCACTTATCAAAGAATTTCTTGTATGGATTAGATTGCGTTTCTTCTTCAGATAGTTCTTCAGCATTGAATGGCTACTCTTTGCACCATGATACTTGTCAACAATCCCCAACCTTCTTTTCAATGTCAAGCCACTTGGTCTGATAAACATGTCGGCTGTTATGATTCTGTCCTTTCCTGTGTCTAGTTGACATTGTTCTTGAATTCTCAAGTCATGCAAAGATCTATTCATTACAGCTAGTGTGTTGTATGCTATGCTATCACTCTATGAAGCCATTTTTTCTATTTGCATCCAAGCTTCTCTTGACTTCTCAACACAAACGTTTCTCTGATTAAACGTTGATTCCAACAAAGGATATTCTTCTGCTTGTAGTTCTGCATCATACTCCACTAACAAATGAGTATTTTTTCTTAACAACTGTACATTCTTATTAGAAATCAATCCTTCATATTGCATTCCTGCCCAAGTTCCATGTTGCTGAATGATGGACCCTCCTTGGTGCCCTTTGCACATCAAAGCCTTGCATTGATGTTTGCACATATTTCCTTTCACAACCTTGAAACAATCACATGAAGGCAGCATGGAATAACAATCTCAAACAGTGTACTTAGTTTTAAATTTTGGACATATCACCTCAGCAAAGTTTGGCTTTAAGGGGTCTAGAAACGCCACCTGAATACAACATATATAACTTTTCATTATTTATGATCAAAACGCAAGTTATGCATAGTCATAGCTCCGATATTGCAAGCAAAAATGAATAAACACAAAGTCATAAAAAAAATCACATGAGCGTAT